AACGTAAACAAAGATGACTGACTTAGTTTGATAACGCGCGAACGTCAAAAAAGGCCGAGCGACGTCAAATATTAGCGTTAAGGAAATGAAGCGTCACTCTAGGCAAACACCAGCTTGAGTTCCATGGGTAAATCTAACCGTGTGGCTTTCTTGCGTGCCTGCTTTGGCTTAGTCTCATTTAATTGACTGCATAAATGCCTTAAGTTGCATTTTCTTCACGGAAAATGACCATATTTTCGTAAACCATGTTTCGAGCGCGCAATACCTAACTTATAATTGGTGCAGTGCGCACATTCGTCTTTCTATAAGATGTACGGTCTTGTTTGAGTGAGTATCTTTTACCAGGGTTACAGAAACGTCAAAATCTTTACCATAGCTTTGAAGCTGCACCTATCTTGAGAATGATTAAGCGCTATGACGGACGTGCACAAGCGAGAAGGGAGTCACAAACACAAACTAAACCATGGGCTCGACCTAAAACATGTACACGTACACCTACGGCATGCTTATTACACTTATGCTGCACTAGCGATTACACATGCAGGCTATGTCTCAATTTAAAAAAAAGCAGTTTTTTAAATACACCTATTTCCCAATCTCTAATATATTCATTTCTGACAGTTAGAGCTCTTGTGCCCATATATGACCGGTATGTAGTGGTGCACATTGCATCGTTTATTTTTATTCTTAAACAATACGACTAAGGTATCTGATTCTTCTCCGCCTGCGTAGTGCTCCTATAAAAAATCTATTTAAATATTCACTTTATACCACTGGTCCGTTGCACCTTGCATATCGCCTAACGTGTACTGTATTCTAGGGTAGATTTGGCTTATATTAATTTAAACACGTGCAACCTAACTGAAAACCCAGATTTTTATTTTTATATATGCCGCATCTAAATTAAGTCTTGAATTTCCAGTGAAGAAAAGAACCGGTAAAAAATAATTGTTGCTAAGTATACGTTTTTAGTTTCATTTGTTTCCCAAATTTTCTCTCATTTTACAAAAGTATTTTGCTTTAGCAAGTATAATTATCACCAGTGTAAGATCAGCTATACTTAGCTCAATTGGGAGTAATCAGAGAGCGAGATCAGTATTGAATGGAGCCTTTCTTACTGTGATCTTCATGGTAGCTTCATATCTTTTGACATAAGAACGTATTCCAACGATGTTCGTAAACGGCAGCCTCAGAACATTTTTTTTTCAGTAGAGACAACCTGGCGAGTCTAATCCAAGGACACGCGCAAAACTTCCGTTGTGTTGCGCGCAAGCACCAAACGGTGAATTTTGCTAGCTATAAAATATATTCGACCTTTCTATGCTGTTGGTTCGCGATGCTTCCAGTGCCTGAAGCAAGAAGAATTTCTTTTGGAAACTTGATTTCACCTAACTCGTATTCTTTTCATTGCTCAAGAGCTACACTAAAGTTCGAATCCACCAGCCTGAGTGTTGATGAAACGAAAAATGCGTGAACTGTTGTCGTTATAATTTACATTCCTTGCAAATAGGCTATACGCAATCATTAAAAAAAACCAGAGTGACTGCTACTTTTACGACGTATATACATTTTATTTTTGAAACGGAGGCTTCTTTTGGCTACAATATTTTTTAAGGCTACAATATATTTTAAGGCAATAAAACAAGGTAGTGTAATTTGGGCAAACATCTCTTGCTGAGCAGCGGTGTGAGCGAGCTGAATGCCTTCGAAGGAGAAGGGCGTAAGGGGACGACATTATCAGTAACGACGTTGCCTGAAGCAGGACTTGCCACTCGGTTGGAGGGGGTGTACATCTAACGCGGATGACTGGAAATGGGGAGGTAGCGTACGTGTTAGAAATCTCCACACAAACAGTTCAGTAAAGTTCAGCTGCACCAATCAAAGCCTCCGGACGCCACCGGGGTAAAGAGGGGGTCGCACGCCAGGCCCACCACCTCCCCCCAATTATCGCCATAGCATACAAAGAACAAAATGACAGATATGCCTGCCCCCCCCCCTTCTTTGCGTCAACGTAATGTCCCACCCCTGCAAGCCTACGCCCCTATTGGACTTTGCCATACAATCTGCTAGTATTGTCCATATATATTCATCAGCTTGCACAAGAAAGCAAAAATTCTTCTTTCTTTTACATTTTGTTGTACTGGTGGTTTAAAATATTGTTTCAAATTAGGGAGAGCGTTTGTTTTAAAATAGAATTTCTCTTCTTAGTCAAAAATTTTATATTATTATATCACTTATATTCGGAAATACGTTTCAGTGAGTGCGCAGCACTTCAGCTGTTACGGTCACACTTATTCCGTCTTTCCGCCAAATGACTAAAGATTCTGAAAGAATGCTCGGTAGGCAGCGAAGATCGCTATTTTAATGTTTTTAAGCTAGAGCGTCAGACAATATTGGCAGCTGTTAATATTTTCTTTCTTTTACATATGCTGGTGTTTCTGGGTTTGCTGGTTTCATAACGTTTGGGCTGTTTGTTTGTTCATTTTTTTTTCAAGGTTGCGTATGTTGTTCAGCGATTAACAAAACCACATGTATAATGTGTTGCTTTGTCTGTACAGGTAAAATCATATTTCATCACTCCTACCATTAATGTATGAGCACTCTTTTACATAGACACTTAAACCGCTATACGGACTAACCGACACGCTAACCAGCAGTTGACAGCTCATTGTCTGTCTGCATAATCATCATAAAACTTGGAACAAACAATTAACAACACAGCATAGCGTATATCGGATACTGCTACCTAGGTTGCACAAGTCTGGGTTTTCAGCAGTGTAAATATCACGAAGCCAAACCACTTCCTTTATGAAACAAACTCCATATCACGCATCATATATCACCCTTTGCAAGCAATGCATTGCAAATACTGCGAAGGTTCGACTCCACATTTTTCTACTGAATTCGTGTTATAAAGCGCATTCACTTAGAAAATAACGACTAATTGCATTTACCACAACAAAATGTGATAGAGGCATGTTTTTCTCAATTAAACGGGTGAAAAAACAAGTTTGCTATCATCAAATACCCAGCAACGTTGAGTCAACAACAGCATGACTTTGACTTCAACGAGTACTTTGTTGTGTCATAGATGTGCAGGTCATATAAAACAATATAAATTAGGTTACTGCATCTTTACTAGACATATACATAAGTGGTACAAGGGCACGTGCAAAAATAAATATTTATTTTGACATTTCTGCCGTTTCGTTGTTCTTTCGTTGTTCGTTTACATAGGAGCCGGCAAGCAACTCTCAGTTTTAGTCTGTCAACGAAGGCTGATTGACGCCTCGATAGCTGTGGTACTTTCAGTGTACGCGTCTTTGAATAGAGCTATACACGACCTGAGTGTTATTGATGTGGTAGTGAAACACTACTTAAGCGACCAAAGTGGTGTTGTTTGGTCACCTTAGGCGTTTTGAACGAACGTTGTTTTTAGATGAAATGACCAAGAGCTACAAGATCACGCCGAACATCTTTGTAAGCGATAGCATTTTACTCTTTCGTGGTTACAAATTGATGTACCTGGCTGCCTAGAAGCGTAGTGCTTTTGCTTGCCTTTGATTATTTTGCCCACAACTTTATAGAGTACTGACAAGTTTCCCTTTATGCATTATTTCATTTATTTGATGAGGGTATCAGTTTTTTGTGTTTCCAGCAGCAAAGGATACCCTGGAAACAGCATGTTTGTCGTGAAGATAATTATGAATTCTCAAAACACGGTGCTATCTTGATATATAGGCATCGAGTGAAATTTAGACATTTATCATAGTTAATACTCATCGCCGCCTCTGTATTACCTATTCTCTAAGATTTAACTCTTTGATTGAACTCAAGTAAGTGTATGCAACGCATAATACACACCATCCCTGGTATGAAAGTTTAAACGTGTGTATAGATGAGAAAAGAAGCCATTTTCATGCCTTCTTGACACTTCTTTCATCCTCTATACCAAATCAATAATGGTGAACGACTTGACATTTCACATGAAATGAAGCATTCATTACTGTCCAGAAAAGCGTCTTGAATTTTCTATACCTCCTACAAAAAATATTAATGTATCTTTGAACAAGAATAAAAGTGCACAGTAAATGATAAGATTACAATAAAAGAGGCCCCCATAATTATTTGCACGCTTTGATAGCAAACTTGACTGAATTGCACTCTCTATATATTTTGGTGAAGCATGCTCTTTGGTAGTTAGCCAATTTATTTTTCTAGCGAAGCCTAAGAATATGTCAAATTTTTTGCGTCACAGAAAAATGAAAGAGGTGGTTGACTTCAATAGAGTATGTAAAAAAAGATCGCTGACAAAGTTGCTAGACGGAATAGGTTTATGCAACAATAAAAAATCTGCAGCTTATGCAAACAATATTGAATAGTGAAGCACGTGGATTTCACACTGACTGCAATATATTGTATTTTTTTATTTTGTAAACCCTTTTCGATGCTGTTGTTTATTTGTGTAGCGAATTGCAACAGGTAATCCTACTGTTAGTTGTAGAAGTTGCCCGGGCCACGAATGTTGAGACTGAAAATGATTACGGGGCCATTCTCGGTGGAAACAAAGCACATGGACTGAAGATAGATCCCAAGCACGGTAGCTGCGACAACGTACGAGTTGGATGTCACCAAAGAAACGGACGGCCAGGGTGGCTGCAGTCGTGACAGGCCCTATGGCCACCTAAGATCATGATATGCGTGAGAGATTCCATGGCATGTGCAACCTTACCGTGCAGTTGAGTTCATACGATTACATGCAATGACAATTCATATTACACCGTGGTAGCCTACAAGCGAAGATGGTGCGCTGCTCGAAGACTCGGAATCTTATCCCGTTAATAGAAGTCGCACTTCATTCGGGGGTAAGCTCTATATAACCCCATATGCTTAGCTTTACGCTCGCTTTCTGGAACCTGAAATGCTCAGCATTGTGACCAATTATGGCGTACCTGATAAATATTGTTGTGTCAGCGCGTGAAATGACAAAACCTGAGCTCCAATGCGAACCAGCTTTATTGTTCATCTACAATGAATTTACGTGGCTAATCCTACGGCGAGTATTCAGTAGTAACCGGCGGCATATCCACCCTGGTAACCACCACCGTATCCTCCGTTGTTGTAACCTCCTTGACCATAGCTCGCCGGCTTTCCACCGTAACCTGGACTGTAGGCGCTGGCATAGTGACCGCTGTGCGGAAGGGTATAGACTCCTCCGTATCCACCAGGGGCTGCACCGTAGCCACCACCATATTGTCCGCCATAACCCTTGGCGCTACCCTTGCCGTAGCCTCCTCCTCCATATCCAGAATGGCCACCCCCGTAGCCTCCATTGGATCCATATAGCCCAGTAGCCAAGGCAACACCGATCATCACGGCGAAGGATATGAATGCCAGCTGCGTCAAAGCAATGAAACCATGAGCAAGGATGAATAAGTATAGCTTTTACAAAAAGTTCGTCCTATCGACTGAAGTTTTCATTGAAGATTTTTTACGACAAACAAGCCCTCAGCGTCAATGTCACTAGTGCAGGTAAACCTATTTGAAGTGTGAATAGGTCTCTGTTAAAAACGCCAAACCAGTAAAAATTAATCCAAAGTCCTCCAACAGGGCCTGCTTGAATATCGCATCATTCTTCTGGCTCGTAAAACTGCAAAATTCAAATTGAGCTACGTGGCTTGAACGTATTGTTAGTCAATAACAACATTAGCAAAATGTACAATCGTCTGTAAAAGCACCCACACGGAGATGCTGCCATCAGCATCACATGGAAATTTACTGCAGATGAATTGATTTTTCACATTTATGATATTTCAGTATGTTAGAAATATAACATCAACTGGCAACTGCATGCCTTAATTGTCTTGGCCTCTCAGGTAAACCTTGTCGCATAGTCATTAACATGCCCATAAAGTATACTCAGGTGTAGTGTGTAAAGGCAATTTTACAATTGCTGAATGACGCAAGATGCAATCAGGCTTCGGTTACGTTTTCGAAATTGATATGTTGGTTGCGTTGGGGTACATACAAGCAGAATGTTTAGTATGCCGGAAGCACTCACAAACTTAATCAATGAACAATGCGCGTTTTTGCAACACCCATCTTGAATATTCACGTTCCTGTGGAAAGCGCTCAGTGCCGGCAATTCGCCTCAATCTTCTTATACGCACGTGAATCTACCTCACATTACAGGAAGTTTCCTCCAACAGTGCACGGATCACTGCTAATATCGCCACGCTATAAAACTACATTGTTATAAAATAACAAAATGTATATCACATGCGTACAATCTCATCCCTGCTGATTTCTTGAATAGTTTCAATAGTCGCATCACCTGTTTGCGACATCTTTCAAAAATATACACTGTGCTAAAGCTGAACCCTGTCACCTTACCATATTGCAGTGTCGATTCACAATCCCCATCATATTTTTGCCAGGACCTTAACCTATACAAATCACCCGCACCCGTGATATTCCCCCAAGATCCTTTTTATTTCGCACAGTTGTCATGATAGCTTGCTTAATTATGACAAACATTATAGCGCATTGGTGTAATTATATTAAATATGTCGTACCGCATCCACGTTTACTCGAAAGCGCATGCTTGGTTATAAAACATGGTACCACTGCAGCCGTATAACGTTCTAACAAATCGAAGTAAAGTACACTTTCACCTCAGTCAAAAAGCCGAGAAGCGATAGAGGAAGCATAAAATTGTGTCTTACTGTGATCTTCATGGTGGCAGAGTTGACTCTTTCAAATGAGCGGTATACGACGAGTGCGAACTACACCTCGATGCTCTTAAATATGCCATGTTCGACCATGGTTGAACACGTGAACCGCATTATGCGCGCCGAGCATTGCGCAAACAATGCCTCATATCAGCAAATAGTTTATGAGCGAGGCTAAATTGTTGGCGAGATTCTACAGCCTAGTTTGATGAAGCTTGCGCCTATATTGCTCGTTTTTATGACCGCACCACGTTTAAAGTATCATATTTCTTATTCGTCAGCGAACAATAATAGACAACATATCGGTCGAATAAAGTGATGGCAACAGGTCTGTAATACACCACCTCTGAAGCTGAAAAGCGTTTAGCTTCTTTTTTTTTTGTAGCTATACCGGCTGACATATCTTGTTAGGGATGTGGTGAGGTAACCGTGAAGGCGAAGATGATGATGATGGTTTGTGGGGTTTAACGTCCCAAAACCACCATATGATTATGAGAGACGCCGTAGTGGAGGGCTCCGGAAATTTTGACCACCTGGGGTTCTTTAACGTGCACCCAAATCTGAGCACACGGGCCTCAACATTTCCGCCTCCATCGGAAATGCAGCCGCCGCAGCCGGGATTTGAACCCGCGACCTGCGGGTCAGCAAAGGCGAAGAAAATGCTAGAAGATACGGTTAGAGCACCAACCATGTAACGGAAATAAGAAATACTTACGCATACCAGCGCATGCTCACGGTCACGAAACTACAAAAGTTTCAACCATTCACTATGCTTCCCATAATTTCTTACCCTATAACGAAGTACTCAATGTTTTGTCAACCTCAGCGTCAATGTTCATTATGCACCTCGGTATGCACTAGCAATGCGCTTTAGTAGGCTGATTGAATTGCCTATTTCGTGTCATTATGCATGACATGAGGTGTGTGTTTGTGTGTGTGTGTGTGTGTGTGTGTGTGTGCGCGCGTGTGTGTGTTTGTGTGTGTGTGTGTGTGCGTGTGTGCGTGTGTTTTTCCGCCCCCTATATGTGAAAATAACTAAAAGGAAAAAGAGGGGTAGCCCGTACCACCAGGAGGTATAACGGGCTCAAGCCAATCTAACATAAATGAAGAGGGGAAACTTCCCAACTTTTTATTTTTTTTTTTTTGAAAAAGCGAATTAGTTAAAAAAATAACATGAGTAAAACCTAGTGAGTGTGGCATGAAACTGTAATAAATAAACTAGTTAGCTTCTCAGGAATGAGCAGGTCGATATGCAGCAGCAGTGTATTTCCCCCACTTGAGTTTTGGAGTTCGTGTGTGTGTGTGTGTGTGTGTGTGTTTATTTTAAATGCATTGTCGTTGAATGCAGAAAGTCCAAAAACAAACAACGAAGTGGGATGTGAGCCAGTGGTCTTGAGGATGGGTAAACGTTGACGATGATGGTAGCAGTGGCCTCTGTGATGTCGAAGCCCATTTCTTCACCAGTAGTCATGTAGCCAGGCACGTCGGGCTGTCGTTCCAACCAGCAATGCAGCAGGGAACCTTGGGAAGCCTGTTTGCCGCTGCGAACTTAGACAAGGTGCCATTCGCAATAGTAACAAGCTTTAAAAAAAGGGGGGGGGGGCAGGATTAGGTACTTGCGCAAGCGTTGCGAATGCTATGGTTCGAGTACTAGGGAAAATGGAGCAGTGATGCTATCGTTATCAGTCGCCGAGGTTTTCCCCCACCTTTGTTGGCATAACTGCAACTGTAATCGAGAGCATTCACGCAAAAGTTGTGATAGGGAGGGGATTCGGAGTATAAAGCGACGTCCTGATAAAGTGTTGGTAGCTAATACGTGTCATGTGGATGTCATAGAAACAGAGTTGCGCATCACAGTCACTAACTGAAGTAGATACGCGCGAGATTTTCTATTGGTCAATAGCCCATAATAATGCGCAGGTAGTGTTGTATCACTACCTAGTGTTGGGCACACGTAGTGTTGGGCACACGTAAATGGGTCACAATGTGTTGCGTGTTTGGGCATTCATTAAAGTAGTGTTGTTCGCTCAAGCAAGGTGCACAACACATACACCTGTCCGATGCAGTTATATTGAATCGATGAACATAATACTGAAAGTGTCCGTGACCAGATAATAAGTGTGTTAGGTTTTTAGGAGGGGGGAACCACTGAGGAATTTTGTACGGACTTGTGATCCAATGAAATAGCGTTGTCTCAGGTCCCTCAGTCTGCCAATGGGTGTGCCAATATGAATTCAAGATTTTATGAAACTGAGTTCGTACTGACCGAATTGATATTTTGGCGTAACGCAAAAAGCCTGATTTCCCTCCTAATGCAGCTGCAGCGTCAGCTAGCTCATTTCCCAAAATTTCCATATGGCCAGGTACATGATACAATTTTATAATTTTGCCTGACGAGATTATATGGTTAAGAAGCAGCTTAATGTTCCGAATTCTTTCATTGTTATCAGTGAGACTTGAAAGTTTCATTAGAAGTGATAGACAGTCTGTGTATATGTGGGCTGGCGTGTTAAAGTTGTTTGTAAAAACGAAATGAAGGGCTTCTTGGAAAGCTATTAATTCCGTGTCGTTTGCGCTTGAAGCGTTGCGAATCTGAAATTTTCTAACAGTTATGATTTTTCCATCCTTTGTCAAAGCAATATATGCCTTACCCGCCGCGTAGGACGTGTATGAGCCGTCAGTGTATACGTGAATAGCTTTTGTTTTGAAAATAACCGCTTCTTGTGATGGTGAGAGTTTAGTGAAAGTAAATTCATATTTTTTACTGGGGTGACGAGCCCACGGACTGCGTGGATATAGTATGTCAGCCGGTTTGAATGTTTTTACACCATAATAAGTTACGTTCCGGAGTATGAATAAGGAAAATTCTGCAGATTGTCTGTTCAACTCTAATGGTAACGGAGGCGCGTTAGCGAGAATCTGTAGGGATGACGTACGTGTGGTGTAAAATGCACCTGTTAAGGAAATTAAGACGGTTCGCTGAACTGATAAAACTCGCGCCCTAATGAATTTTGATGGGAACATAGGCCACCATACCGGAGATGCATACGTGAGAGTGGGCAATATCACTTGATGGTAGAGTCGTCTAATGAGTGTACTTTTTAATGAACGGTGCGATTTAACAAATGCGAGGAGCCGGGACGTGGACAATTCAGCCTTTCCTTTAATGTAGTCAATGTGGGCATGAAAATTTAAAGAGGGGTCAAATAATACGCCTAGAATCTTCATTTCTTTCTTGTGTTTGAGAAAAATGCCATCCATGCGGATAGATGGGCAGCGTTTTGATGTACCCATGTGTCCGTTATTAAAGAATACGAAGAACGACTTCTCGGCGCTTACGGTAACTTTTTGTTCTCGTGTCCAACCAGATACCAAAGCCAGGACATGCTCAGCCTTTGCTTGTAATTGGAGTCTTGACTTATCTGTGATAACAATGATGGTATCGTCCGCGTACGCCTGTATGTGTACGTCGGGTGGCACGGGAAGATTGAGTAAGCTGTGTATTACTATTTTCCACAGTAGCGGACTGATAGCGGATCCTTGCGGGCTGCCAATTGTTGTACGAACTGTCTCTTCTGCGACGTTGGTTGAAAAAGTTACAGTGCGGTTAGATAAAAAGGATTTGAGTAGAAAGTACAAGTTTTGTGGACACCTGTGCTTGCGTAAAAAGTTCAAGACTGCAGGATGCCAAACATTATCGAATGCTCCTACAAAATCAAGAGATATGAGTATGGTAGGAAGTTTGGCTGCCTTGTATGCAGCCAATTTGCTTCGCAGTGTGTATAGTGCTAAAGTGGCACTTTTATTGTGCGTAAAACCTTATTGATTATTGTGAAGAAGATTATTATTGTGCAGGAAATAATACAGACGAGCATTTAGGAGTCTTTCTAATACTTTACTGAATACAGAGTTCATAACTATTGGTCATTATGCATTAGGCGAATTGAGCGGACGTCCTGGCTTTGGTATGAATATTACTTTCCCTCTTCTCCAAGCCTGTGGGAAGTGTCCGATTCTTAAGGCGGTATTGAAGATAAAATAGAAAAATTGAGGATCGTATTCAAATAATCTTTTAATGAACGAGTAGGTTAATCCGTCGTGTCCAGGAGCAGAGTGTGAATTACCCTGTTTCATCGTGCACTCTATTTCAGATATTGTAAAAGAAAGGTCAGAAGTATGCCACGGGTAAGGACTAGCCGCAATGTTACGCATGATAGTGTGGTGCATGTTGTCTTCAGAACAGCTGTCCACTACTGCCAATGTATCGAGTAGTAGCCGGGCGGACTCAATTACAGAAGCTGTGCGAGTGCCGTTAGGTAAATCTAGAGGAAGAAGAAAAGTTACTTGGTGGTGTTTTTGAAATGCGGTTTTGAAAACATCACCATATAAACATTTGTTAGTGAGAAAGTCACAAATGTCTTTATCAAACGATGATTTTGCTTTCCTGATTTTGTCCTTGTAGGTTGAGAATGCATCAACGTACAATTTGCGATACATGTCACGAAGGAGAGGGGTCAGCTGTTCGCTGGTATTGTCGTCGCATAGACCGAACACGCTTACCTTCAATAGTCAATTCTGGTGTCCACCAACCATTACCTAATTTACTACGCGATGTTATGCGTCGTGAGTAACGTTGGCTTAAAGCGGAGTATATGGCATAAAACTTGTCTATAACCATGTTTAGGGCTTCAGGTGACCCAATGTTGCAGCCGAGTATCTTTGTGAATTAAGTGTCGTCCTTTAATTTGTTAAGAACTTTCGCTCTTCCTAGATTAGTTAATCGTTTAGCACTGCTGGTATGTGCTTGCGAGAACGAGAATTCAATGTAGTTGTGGTCCGAGAGGGTAGGAATTCGGAGAACCTTCCTATGGTAAGCATCGCGAGTGAGGTCATGTGAAACCATGGTTAAATCTATCCATGAATCTGCATACGGAGTTGTGAAAGTTGGAGGGGAGTTGGGGTTGTTCAATATGACTAAGTCATTCGCCGTCACGAATTGGACTACTTGAGAGCCTCGAACATCTCCTATAGCTGGCCCCCACATTCTATGTTTGGAATTAAAATCTCCGGCTATGATGACAGTACAATCAGTAATCAAT